CCGGCGACTGTCCGACGACCCCGCCGTCCTCCACGCCGAGGGCGGGCTCGACGAACGCACTGCGGTTGGCGGGGCGGAGAGCGCGGCGCGTTTGCCCACGAGGGCCAGGCGGGGGGTCTCGTTCCCCAGACAGCCACCAGCGTCGACCCCAGAGCCCCGACGTCATGATTTTGTCATGACGCGACCCCCAAAGGTCCCGACCCCTTCCCCGGGACCGGTTTGTCGCCCTGAGTCGTTTTGTGACGCTCCCGAGGCCCGGTGAGGGCCCCTGGAGGCCGAAAATGGCGAAAACCTCCCGTCGTGATTTTTTCACGACGCGAGGAGGTCTGGGACGCTGGGTGGGCGACCTGGCGCCCGGAAGGGGGCCGTCGGGGCCCGCACGGGGGAGCGGGCCGCGCCCCCACCCTCTGTCCCACCCGTCGGTCGCGCGACCAGCGCCCGCCAGCGCCGGCGCGGACTGCCGCAGGGGCGCGGGGTGGCCCCTGCGAGCCCCGAGCGACCCTCCTCCTCCTCCTCCTCCTCCTCCTCCTCCTCCTCCTCCTCCTCCTCCTCCTCATCCTCCTCCGCCTCCTCCTCCTCTCCTCCTCCTCCTCCTCCTCCTCCTCCTCCTCCTCCTCCTCCTCCTCCTCCTCCTCCCCCTCTTCTTCTTCCTCCTCCTCCCCCTCCCCCTGCCGCGCGTAGGTCAACCACCGAAGGCAGGCCCAGGCTGGGCCGCTGGCGCAGGGCAGGAAGCCTATAGAGCCCGGGGCGCGAGCCCGGACGAACGCGCCGAGAAAAGCGCCCGACGGCGATTTTTCGAGTAGGGGATGGACTACAGAATCGGTGTACCCCTAAACTGATTCCCTCGTCGAATCTACAACGAAAGTACGTATAATTTTTAACACGGAGTCGACAGGAATCGAATTTCGGGGTAAGCCGATTCTATAGTCGATATCCACTACTGCCACTACTCGAAGTTTTCGTGCCGGCGAAGCCTAAGAGGTGTGCCCACCACCTGGGCTGCAGCCGCGCCCCGGGGGCAGTTGCCTGGAGGCAGCGGGAACGCGGCTTCGGCCGCGGCCGAGTGGGCCGACGCAGCAGGCCCCGCCCGCCGCGTCATCGACGGCAGCGGGCGCCATCGCACTGGGGGGCGCGCTATAAACCCAGACCTCCTCGCGTTGTGAAAAAATCACGACGGGAGGTTTTTCGCCACTTTCGGCCTCCGGGGGCCCTCGCCGGGTCTCGGGGCCGCCGAAATACGACCCGGAATGAAACACCAGTCCCGGGGAAGGGGTCCAGACCTCTGGGGGTCGCGTCGCGAAAAAAGCAGGATGTCGGGGGTCTGGGAACGTCGGCGTCCCCCGAACCGCCACCGAGCGAGGCGGATTTGGACGCCCGAAATGGGTACGGAAAGAATGGGTACAATGCCCAACAGCAAATGTTGTCCCAAACCAACAGCGGCCGCTGTTGGGCAGGCGGCCTCCTGTCTCGAATGGACACAGGCCGCGGCGGCGTGGACAGCAAGCCCTGTTCAGAATGAACAAGATCCGCTGTTGGGCATTGTACCCATTCTTTCGGTACCCATTTCGTGCGTGCAGAGTCGGCGTCCCCCGAACCGCCACCGAGCGAGGCGGAGGGGGGGCCGAGCGGCAGCCCGGCCGCCGCAGAACTCCGGTTGGCAAAGGACGCGTGCACAGCGGCGGCAGAGCCCCAATCTGCAGGGCAACAGACCCGGCGGCGGGCCCGTCCGCCATGGAAGGAGGAGGAGGAGGAGGAGGAGGAGGAGGAGGAGGAGGAGGAGGAGGAGGAGGAGGAGGAGGAGGGGAGGAAGGAGGAGGAGGAGGAGGAGGAGGAGGAGGAGGAGGAGGAGGAGGAGGAGGAGGAGGAGGAGGAGGAGGAGGAGGAGGAGGAGGAGGAGGGGGGAGGAGGAGAGAGGAGGATGGAGGAGGAGGAGGAGGAGGAGGAGGAGGAGGAGGAGGAGGAGGAGGAGGAGGAGGAGACGGAGGAGGAGGAGGAGGAGGAGGAAGGAGGAGGAGGAGCAGGGGGAGGAGGAGGAGGAGGAGGACCAGTCTCCCCCCACAGCGGGGGCTGGGGCTCACGCTCGGGCTCCATCCGCACGAGCATGCCGCCATAGATGGTCTCCTCGTCCCTTCCTCCAGCCCCGGAGGGGGCCCGAAGCCGGCGCGCGAAGGCGAGGCGGCCTTGGGGGCTGCCCCGCAGCGGGGTGCCCCGATGGCGAGCCGCGGCGGCGGCGGAGGGGGCGGCGCGAGCCCCTCTCTGCGGGGCTGCAGCAGCACCGCTGGCGAGGCGCACGCGCCCGCTCCTTCGCGACTTGGGCCCCGAGCGCGCCGACGACGCCTGCGCGGCCGCTCTGGGCGCGCCCGCCGCCCAGAGCGAGAGGCTGCGGGTAGGAATGGCCTCCGCCCCCAGCCCCGCGGCGCGCGCCTCTCCCTGCGGGGCCGCGGCAGCCTCGATCGCTGGAGTGCGCAATGCCAATCGACGGGGTTCGGAGGCGGCCCCGCGACCGACGGGGCCGCTTCCGAGGCGATCCACGCGCCCCGCCGCGCGAGGCAGCTGCTCGACTGCCGCCGAAACTATGGAGTCAAGAAGCGCACTGCCCGGCTGAGACTCGCGGCCGAACCAGGGCGCAACGGCGATGGAGGAGGAGGGCTAGGAGAGAAGGCGAGCTTAGGGAGCTCCTGCTTCGACTCCTCCATGCTAAGCTGAGGTCGGACCTGCCCCCCATACAGGGGGAATTTGGACGAAAAATGCAAAAAAAGACGACACCCTACAAATACTCAAACATCCAAACAAGAGTTCTAAAACATCGCCCCCGGACTAGTTTGAAAACTGCTTCTTGGTACTCCCCCTGTACCCAGACCCCCGACGTCATGATTTTTTCATTACGTCGACCCCCAGAGGTCTGGACCCCTTCCCGGGGACCGGTTTGTCGCCCTGAGTCGTTTTTTGACGGTCCCGAGGCCCGGTAAGGGCCCCCAGAGGCCGAAAATGGCGAAAAACCTCCGGTCGTGATTTTTTCACGACTCGAGGGGGTCTGGGGATGGACAGGCCCTCGCTGCCCCCCGCCGGGGGCGTGCCGGCCGGGCCCTCCTCCTCCTCCTCCTCCTCCTCCTCCTCCTCCTCCTCCTCCTCCTCCTCCTCCTCCTCCTCCTCCCTGCTCCTCTCCTCCTCCTCCCTCCTCCTCTCCTCCTCCTCCTCCTCCTCCTCTCCTCCTCCTCCTTCCCCTCCTCCTCCTCCTCCTCCTCCTCCTCCTCCTCCTCCTCCTCCTCCTCCTCCTCCTCCTCCTCCTCCTCCTCCCCCTCCTCCTCCTCCTGTGGCAGGCGACCGGACTCCTTCGCGCGTTCTGGGCCTGCGGGCGCGCTCCTCGCGGCGCAGCCGCGGCGGGGAACGTGGCGCGACCGGAGGACCGCTTGGCTGAGGGCTGACGGCGCTGTCCGAGCGCGGGGAGGGAGCTGACAAGGCGCCGCACCACGCGGCGCGCGAGCTCCCCGTCCTCGCCCTCCCCTCATGAGAGCCTCCTCCGGGGCCCCCGGGGCCAGGGGCAAGAGGTCGAGGGAAGGAGGAGGACGGTTTGGCAGCAGCGAGCGCGAGGCAGCCGCCATCGTCCAGTGGACCACGGGCCGAAGCAGAGGACACTCCGACGCCTGGGGAGCCGCGGGCCAAAGGGGGCAGCGCGGCCCGAGCGAGCGGACCAAGGGCCTCCGTTCGAAAAAGCAGCGAAAGCGAGCGGCAGCACCCAGCAAGCGCCCGAGCACACCCGCAGGGCAGGAGCGGTGGGGGCGACCGCGCCCTCCCGCCCCGCCAGCGGCGGCGGGCAGAGCCCGAGGAGCTACGGCTCAGAGAGCGAAGCTCCCAGGCGACCGCCGCCGCGGAAGCGGCAACGATCACCAGCAGCAGGGGGCAGAGGCCCCTGCTCGAATCGACCGCCCGCCTGAGCCAGGCAGTCGACCCCACCGCAGGCTCACGACGGACGGGGTGGCAGCGCGACCCCCGCCCGAACCTGAACCCACGTGGGCTGTTGAAGAGGACGGCGACCGCGAGGATCTGGAGTCCCGAAACAGTGCGGTGACAGACCCTGCCGTGACCTCGAAGTCCCCCAAGACCTCACCGCACGGTCCGTCACAGCACGGTCTTGGGACCCCGGAGGCCCCTGTCGCCCGAGACGTCCTCGGAGAGGGACTCGAGTCCTAAAACCGTGCGGTGATCCCGAATCCCCACCGACTCACCGCACGGTGTGGTCACCACCCCGTTTGGGGACCCCCGCGAGGAGATCCAGGAAGACATGCGCGGCGCGGGCAGGATGGCAGCCCCTGGGCGCGCGGGCCGCGGAGGCCGCGAGCATAAGCGGGTGGCCGCGCGCCGCCACGCGGGGCCGAAACACTGCAGAGACCGCGGGAGGAGAGTCACAGATAATAAAAGGAGCAGGAGGAGGGAGGAGGGGGGAGGAGGAGGGGCAGGAGGAGGGGGGAGGAGGAGGAGGAGGGGAGGAGGAGGAGGAGGAGGAGGAGGAGGAGGAGGGAGGAGGAGGAGGAGGAGGAGGAGGAGGAGGAGAGGAGGAAGAGGAGGAGGAAGGAGGAAGGAGGAGGAGGAGGAGAAGGAGGAGGAGGAGGAGGAGGAGGAGGAGAAGGAGGAGAAGAAGGAGGAGGGAGGAGGTGGAGAGAGGAGGAGGAGTAGGAGGGGAGGAGGGAGGAGGAGGAGGGGAGGAGGAGGAGGAGGGAGGAGGAGGAGAGGAGGCACAGAGAATAAGAGGAGCAGGAGGAGGGAGGAGGGAGGGGGAGGAGGAGGGGGAGGGAGGAGGGAGGAGGGAGGAGGAGGAGGGAGGAGGGGGAGGGGGAGGGAGGAGGGGAGGGAGGGAGGGAGGAGGAGGAGGAGGAGGAGGAGGAGGAGGAGGAGGAGGAGGAGGAGGAGGAGGAGGAGGAGGGAAAGAAGGAGGAGGAGGAGGAGGAGGAGGAGGAGGAGGAGGGAAAGAAGGAGGAGGAGGCGGAGGAGGAGGAGGGAGCTCCTGCTCCAGCACGTCTGGCGTCCGGCCCACCCTCGGGCCTGGGCGTGCGAGGTGGCCCGGGGTCGCGGGGCGCGCGCCCTCGCCCTCGGCGGCGCGGGGGAGGGCCACCGGCCCGTGGCGCGAAGCGCCGCTCGACATGGGGGGGGGCGGGCCCCCGCCAGGCGGGGGGCCGAGGCGCGGCGGCATCGCGCTCGGGCCGGCACGGGTGCAGCACAGGGAGGGCCATGGCAGCAGCGGTGCGTCCGTGGACGATGCGAGGCCCCAAACATGATCGCGTCTGGAAGAAAAGTCAGGCGGGAGGTTTTGCCAGTTTTTCCAGTTTTCGGCCTCCCGGGGCCCTTGCCGGGCCTCGGGAGAAAACGACTCAGGACGAAGAGCGGGTCCCTGGGAAAGGGTCGGGACTTCCAGGGACGCCGTCTTGAGAAAAAAGCAGGCCGTCGCATGTCTGGGGCCGCTGCGTCGCCCCGGTCGCTGCCCCCCGGGCCGCATCGCGCGGACCGCGATCAGCATCGTCCCACCCTGGCTCCGGATCCGCCCCACTTTGGGGAAATTCGTAAGTAAGGCTTTGACTTTCCGCCGTAGTTTTCAAGCCCCGCTGATGCCAATTTCCGCCCTACCTTTCTCTTGCTGTTCCCGCCCTGCTTCTGTGGATTTCCGCCCCACTTTCTGTTGGGTGCAGCAATTCCCGCCCTACTTCTTCGGCCTCTTATAGGTGGATATCCGACGAAATATTAAGTTGGAACAAAAAAACCAAAGTAGAGCGGATCTGGAGTCGGGGGGACAGGGGCAGAGGTGGGGTTCCCAGACCCCCGATTTCATGATTCTTTCATAGCATCGACCCCCAGAGGTCTCGACCCATTCCCGCCCTACCCTTTCGGCCTCGTATAGGTGGATTCCTGACGCAATTTGAAGTTGTAAAAAAGCCAGAAAGTATGGCGGATCTGGAGTCGGGGACGCCAGCGGCGCGAAGCCACGACGCCGACGCCCTCCTCCTCCTCCTCCTCCTCCTCCTCCTCCTCCTCCTCCTCCTCCTCCTCCTCCTCCTCCTCCTCCTCCTCCTCCTCCGGACAGCGGCGCGAAGCCGTCGACGCCGCCGCGTCGTCGGCGCAGCGCCCGCAGGGAGGCGGCCAGCACGCACGGCGGCCGCGAGCGGGCGGGGCAAGGCCGGGGCTGCCGTGCCCACGGGGCGGGGGCCTCCGGAAATCGTCGGGAACCCACAGGACTGCGCTTATGTCGGGCGTGTCACCCTACAAGGGGATTTTCGACGAAAAATGTAGAAAAGACCCCAAAAACACCCCAAGAAGGTCCCGACTCCGGATCCGCCCTGCTTTTGCTGTTTTCCCAAATTACAGTTGCGTCGGAAATCCACCTATAAGAGGCCGAAAAAGTAGGGCGGAAATTTCTGCACCCAACATACAGTGGGGCGGAAATCCACAGAAGTAGGGCGGAAACAGCAACAGAAAAGTAGGGCGGAAATTGGCATCAGCGGGGCTTGAAAACAAAGGCGGAAAGTCAAAGCCCTACTTACGAATTTCCCCAGAGGAGGGCGGATCCGGAGCCAGGGGGGAATCCACAGGACTACGCACTGCGCGTGGGCAGCCAGTGTGCAGCCCGGGTGCAGGCTGCGTGCTCCCCCCGCCTTACCCCTCCCCCCTCCCTCCCCCTCTCTCTCTGCCGCTGGACCTCTCTGCCAGGTAAGAAACAAAGCGTGCACTTCGCGCGGGCCGCATGCAGCAGGTGGCGTCCGGCTCGGGCCGGCGCGGACGCACAGACCCAGACGTCCAATGTATTGGCAACATCGAGACGAAGCTTTTTCGCCGTTTTCGACCTTTCGGGGCACTCGCCGGGCTCTGGTCGGGACAGTCAAAACCGACTCGGGATGAAAAGCCGGTCCCTGCAGGGGGCTGACTCCTGGGGGCCCCGCACGCCTGAGATCCGACGTTGCGAAAAGTTGCAACATCGTGAGAAATCACGACCGGAGCCCCAGACCTAATCCTCCTTTGCCATTTCTCGAGCCGCATCGATCCGTGAGGGTCCCGGGCCCGAAATTGGGCGAAAACGCCCAGTGTGAAAAAAATTGAGGCCCCAGACGTGCGACGTCCTTTTTTTCAGCCCGGTGTTTCATCCTGAGTCTTTTTTAGGGGCCACATGCGAACCCTACCCCTGCCCCCCACGATTTCTGAGGGGGAGGGCGGGGCTCACTTCGCTCGGGACGTTGGATCTCTGGGTGTCTGGGGCGCCTCGTGATTTGTTTCAATGCGCGGTCCCCGGAAACCTCGATCCATTCCCCAGGACCGGTGTTTCATCCCGAGTCGTGTTCCGACGGTCCCGAGGCCCAGCGGGGGCCCCTGGGGGCCGAAATTAGCGAAAAACCTCCGTCGTGATTTTCGTCCATCTGTTGGATCTCTGGGGTCATGTCTGGGGCGCCAGGGTCCCAGGGGCCCCTGGGGGCCGAGATTTGCGAAAAGCCTCCGTCGTGATTCTTTGGAGTGCGTCGGATCTCTGGGCGTGATCGCGTCGTTACAGAGATCAGGGCGGGAGGGTTTGGGCCGCTTCTGGCCTCGGCGGGGCCCTCGCTGGGCCTCGGGACCGTGCAAAAGATCGGGGGCCACATGCGAACCCCTACCCCTACCCCCCACGATTTCTGGACCGGTGTTTCATCCTGAGTCGTGTTCTCACGGTCCCGAGGCCCAGCGGGGGCCCCCGGGGGGCCGAAATTAGCGAAAAACCTCCGTCGTGATTTTCGTCAATCTGCTGTTTTCGTTTTGCCCGCAAGGGGTAGAACATTAATCATTTAACCACCAGAGTTCGCCTGTTCCCTCGCGGCCACTCTCGCACGCATGGCCTCCAGCCCTGGGAGAAGCCCCCCATCTCTGGGATCATGTCTGGGAGAAGCCCCCTCATCAGGGGCGTCCCCCCATCAGGGCCCTCCAGCCCTGGGAGAAGCCCCTATCTCTGGGATCATGTCTGGGGCGCCAGGGACCCAGGGGCTGAACAGCTCAAGGCATCGGACCTCTGGGGACGTGTGCGCGGCGCGCGGGCCACGAGGCAGCGGGCGGCGGTGCGGAGCGCAGCGGGCGGGACTGAAGGGGCCCAAGGGCACACAGATAGATCCACACACACACACACACATCCTAAGATTGTTCTCCTCCTCCCTCCTCCTCCTCCTCCTCCTCCTCCTCCTCCTCCTCCTCCTCCTCCTCCTCCTCCTGAAGGGGCCCACGGGCACACATATAAATCCACACACACACACCCTAAGATTCCCAGATTGCTCCCCACATCCTAAGCTGGGGTTCCTGTGATTCCCCGTCTCCTAAGACGGGGCTCTTGTTACGACTTGGGCGCCTCCTGCTCCTTCTCCTCCTCCGCTCCATTCCTCCTCTCCTCCTGCTTAGATTCCCTCATACTCAGGTTTGCTCATGCCCAGACTGATGGTGATGATGATGATGACGACGATGACGACGATGACGATGACGATGACGATGAAGATGATGCTGATGCTGATGCTGCTGCTGATGATGATGATGGTGATGATGATGGTGATGGTGATGATGATGGTGATGGTGATGGTGATGGTGATGGTGATGATGATGATGATGATGATGATGATGATGATGATGATGATGATGGTGATGATGATGATGATGATGATGAGATGATGATGATGATGATGATGATGATGATGATGATGATGATGATGATGATGATGATGATGATGATGATGATGATGATGATGATGATGATGATGAGTATGATGATGATGATGGCAGAGCAAATTCTGAGGACGTCTCGAGCGGGGGCGCGGGTTTCAGCACCCCCAAGGGGGAGCCGCCAGGGTGTATTGCACTCCTCCGTTCGCGCCAGAATGGCGGGGATGTCTCGAGCGGTTTGCCTGTTTCCTTGCCTGACATCCTCCGCTTTCGGAGCAGATTTGGAGGATGTCTCGAGCGAGGCGTTCATTTTCGCCCCCAAGTGGGGCCAGTTTTTCAGGATGTCTCGATCGGTTTGCTTGTTTTGGTGGTCAGACTCGTGGGCACGGGTCCTCACCAGGATGCCACAGGATGCCACAGGAGGCTCCAGGAGGCCCCAGGAGGCCCCAGGAGGCAACAGGAGGTCCCAGGAGGCATCAGGAGGCCACAGGAAGATTCAAGACGCCACAGGATGCCCCAAGAGGCTCCCCCAGGAAGCTCCAGCAGGCCTCAGTAGGCTCCAGGATGTTCCAAGAGGCCACAGGAGGCCACAAGAAGCACCAGGAGGCACCAGGAGGCCCCGAAAGGCACCAGGAGGCCCCAAGAGGCCGCTTCAGAAGGCCACAGGAGTGGCTCCAATCCCATGTGTTGTACGTATGTTCCTATAGTTTTTTCCTCATAAACAACGCGCATCTGAGCTCGACGGAACTGGCGTGAAGAAGTGGGCGGCTCAGGTAAAAATCACCAAATTACCGAACATAAGCCGACCGAATCGTCCGCAAAGCGGAGCTCACCTGCCAAAAGTCAGCGCCCACCGCACCCTGCAAAACGCCCGTGCGCGGGTGGCAGACCGAGTGACCTGCCCAGTCAATCTAAGATGCAGGCAGGCGAGGAACAATAACGATGAGTGTGCGGATATGCGGAATGAGGAGGCAGGAGAAAGAACGCAGACAATTCGGTCCGTGAAATTGGCTCGATAAAGCTTTGCAAGCGAGTCCGGAGCCAGGTTCGCGGACCCCTGGTAGGGATGACCACCTTTCTGTCACGCTGCGCAGACACACGTGCAGCAGCACAGCACCAGAGAACATCATCATCATCATCATCATCATCATCATCATCATCATCATCATCATCATCATCATCATCATCATCATCATCATCATCATCATCATCATCATCATCATCATCATCATCATCATCATCATCATCATCATCATCATCATCATCATCATCATCATCATCATCATCATCATCATCATCATCATCATCATCATCATCATCATCATAATCATCATAATCATCATAATCAACAGCATCAACAAAACAACACCATGAACATTATCATCATGATCATCATCGTCGAAATCACCAACAGAATCATCAGAATCGTCGGAACGAGAACGGCCAGTCTGGAATCTGGGTGCCACAGGCCGTTGACCTGGCCGCAGGTGGCGCCTTCGACGACGCAGCCGGGCAGCTCAACGCGCCCGGCGAGCGACGGTCCTCCTTGGTGCGCTGGGGCTGCAATCCCTGCTTGCGAACAATCGAGCACGGAGGCAGGGGGCAGACCTTAGGAGGCCACTACTGGGAGGTTTTCGTCGGAAAGACTAAGGAGGATTGAGCCCCATTTGGGAGCTGTCACGCCGGAGTGGGCCTCGGACTAAGCAGGATGTAAGCCGGAATAAGCGGGATCCAGCGGGATTAAGCCGGATTAAGCGGGATGAAGCGGGATTAAGCCAGATTAAGCGGGATTAAACTGGATCAAGCCCGATTTCGGACCAGGGCAAAATCAGAATTTGACCTCCCAGGAGTTGCATCCGCACATACCTATGGCGACGAGGGAACAGGGACCAGGAGGGAGCAGAAGCAGCCATCAGCTCCTAAAACAAAACGTATGGAATGTCCGCGACCGGAGCTGACCTTCAAGTCGGCCCGAGAAACTGATACGCCCGTGTGCGGTTGGCATGTGGAGCGACCCGCTGACATATCTCAGCTGCAAGACAATTACAAGTAAGGGCATGGAGAGTATAGAAACAGAAGGGATGATAATCGGGAGAATGAGCAACCAGCCCGTGAATGTAGATGGACACAAATTTGTAAGCTGATAGCTGCTGAACGTCGGCTACAACTCAGCCTGGCAGCCGACACGCCTGGGCGCAGGTGGCATCTCCATTGATGCGGGGACCAGATGCGCTATACTCTGACACATGAAATATGAAGAACGTGTCGCCGCTAGCTAGATTGGGCGAACATGTGCCTAACTGTATATAACTGGAAAAGGAGAGCGACCGTGTCACCCCCGAGGGGCTCGCAGATGTGGCCAGTTGGCCAGTGGATCCTGTATGTGCGCCCTGCTTACCTTGCTCCCCCCCCGTTGCCCCCCGCAGTGAACAGCGCGATCGACTCTGAACAGCGTGCGTGCCTCCCGCTGCCGCCGCGCCGCAGCACCGGGCCTTTGTTGCCTCCAGACGCTGCGCGGTGAAGGATTGGCGGAGCGGCACGCGCTGCGAGGATGTTCTGAGCAGGCGTCCTTCTGTGCCATGACAGAATGGGGCCCGCTGGCTGGAAGCTAAAATACGGAGACAGAATTCCGGCGCGCGCACAATTTTTTTTGAGGGCACCCTACGGCGGGGGGAGAGAGCCTGCAGGCGGAAAAAAGGTCCGCCACGGCACGCACCAGGGCCAAAAGGGGGCGGCCTGGTGAGCCGAAGGGCCAGGGACGGGGAGGGCAAGTTCCACCCCGTGCCCTGACGCACAAACAGTGCCAAAGGATGGCGGCCCCTGAGCATCTGTCACCGCAGGGGAGACATCACCCTTTCGGCCGTGCGAGGGGGCGCGCGCGCGCAAAAACTGCGAGCCAGCATGAGAGGCAGTGAACAGAAGGCGCCTTCCACGTGATCCAAGCACATGCCGACTCTGGGACACCTGACTCACGGTGGTGTCACTCATCCTTCACTTCCCTCGCACGCCCCCGCCGCGCTCGCCCCCTTGCACGTGCTGCGGCCGCCTCTGCAGCGGACTCACCGCTCCGCTCGGTGATATCAGATCAAGATGGGCACCCTGGCTGACGCCCGGGCTCCAGGCCGCCGCCAGCCGGGCAGCGGTGACTGAAGCCCAGGAGCGCAACCATCAATAAGCACCATGAGGAGTGAGGGGGCGGAGGATGAGGAAGAGGAGTGCCCTGTGCTGCCCCCGAGGCAGCGTCGGGAAGAGGGAGAGAGGCTGGAAGCAGTACCACGCCCAGGAACTTCACCGAGCAGCATCATGACGGCGAGAGTCAGAGTCGGGAAGAGTGAGAGAGTCTGGGAGCAACGGCAGAACAGACTGGCATAGCATAGGTCGGGCCTGTCCCCCTACAGGGGGATCTTAGACGAAAGATAACAACAACATCCTTAAACAAAACACTCTACAGATGCCCAAACATACCCAAAACTTAGTCCCCAGACTATGTTTTAACTATTTTTGAATTCCCCCCCTGTAGAGGGACAGGCCTGTAGAAGACAAGGGCTTTTGGCGTCTGCGGCACAGCCGTGCGAGCGCACAAGGCCAAGCCATCGACCAGCGCGGGCACTCCCGAGCCTGCCAGGGCCGTGCGCGAGGGTCAGGCGTCGCTGAGCAGCCAACTCCGGGGCCTGCTCCTCGCCAAGGACGAGGCCGTCTCGAAGCCGCAGCTGCCGTCCGAGACGCGGGGGCCCACCTCGGCATCTGCGCCCTGACTGCGAAGGACGTGCTGGGGCCCAGGGGCCGCAGCCGAGTCTCTGGGGCAGCACAGCTCGCAGAGCTGCTCCAAGGAGGCGACGAAGGGCTCGAAGCCGGGCTGTATGTCGAAGATCCTCGGCCCCGACAGCAGCCGCCCGCGGATGTCCTGCGCGCACTCGGCCACGCTTGCGAGCAGGCGCTCCGTGCGCCGCAGCATGCGCCAGCGGTCCGAGCACTCTTCCAGGGCGTCGATCGCCTCGTCCAGGTGCACGAGCGCGATGCCCAGCGCCTCGCCGACGCCGTGCCCGCTAGGTCCAGCGCCGTCTTGCGAAAAACCTGCTTTACCTTCTCGCAGCCCCTCCATCGCCTCGGCACCCACACCCGCATCCCCTTCCGCGCCATGGCTGTCAATGGTGACGAGGAGACAGCGGTGGACGTAGTGGACCCGCTCGATCAAGAGCACGTAGCTGTCAAGAACCTGCGCCGCCTCGTCGCGAGGCTCTAAGACTAAGCCCTGGGCAATGCCGACCGAGTTGGCCACGGCTGTCCTCTTCGCTCTCGAGGAGGCGAGCGCGGCGCGTAGCATGGGCAGCGCCCCGTCTGCGATGCCCCGGGCCGCGCGGCCCGAGCTGGCGAGAACCGACGCCGTGTCGACCACCACGCGACGCAGCAGTGACGAGACTCGGCCGAGCTCGTCCGCCAGGTCCACGTCCACCACGCGGAGCAGGCGCGCGGCAGCCTCGAGCGGCAGCTCGGCTGCGGCCTGCAGCCACTGCTCCCCGAGCGCGCCGCGGGCGCAGGCCGTCCCGAGGGGCGCCGCGCCGCAGGGCATGCAGACCACCTGCGACTGCAGAGCCGTCCCCGTCGAGGAGCAGTCGGGCAGATCCTCCCGCTCCGGCCCGGGTAAGAGGGTCGACTGCGTCCTCTGCTCCGCGGGGTGCTTGGCCCGCTGCTCGCTCAGCTCGTGGGACATGCCTGGGCCCGCGGTGCTGCAACTGGCGATTGGTGCCACGGTTATCGGACGAGGTACTCTTGAGCGACAACGCTTGAGCGAAAGCAGCTCGAGCAACACAAATGCTTGAGCCAACATGGCTACGGAACGCATGCTCCTATAGATTTTGACCCCCCTGGAGCACGAATCCTTTTTGTGTTTTACGTATGTTTATATAGACTATACTTTCCCTGCGTATCCAATCCAAAGTGTTTTACGTATGTTCCTAGAGTTGGCCTCCCCTGCGGCACGAGTCCGTGGAGTTTTACGTGTGTTCCTATAGATTGCCCTTCTCCTGCGGCTCCAACTCGCAGGGTTTTATGTACGTCTGTTCCTATAGATTGGGCCTCCCCTGGGGCACGAATCCTCCCCAGGAGGCAACACGAGGCTCGAGGAGACTCCAGGAGGCCCCAGGAGGCCCCAAGAGGCTCCAGGAGGCCCCAGGAAGCCCCAGGAGGTTACAGGAGGCCCCAGGACGCCCCAGGCTCATGCGCAGAGACGCGCTCGTACTTTTGAGACTCATTCACACTCCAACTCGTTCACAATTAGAGTCACTCCCAGACCGTCAATACTCAAGGCCGCTTATACTCGAAAACTCTTGCGCCTAGACACTCACGGCGGACAGGTCCATGCTAATAGGTGCACGTATGGTGAGCTCCACGCAGTGAGTAATTCTGACACTTTCGGGACTTTCTCCTCTCCCCCCACTTCCCATAACCTCGCTTCTTTTCTGGGGCATCGACGACCCTGTGCGCCCGTATTTTCTTTGCCCTCGTGAGGGATGCCGCACGCGATGGCCGACGTCATGATTTTTTCATGACGCGACCCCCAGGGAGGTCCCGACCCATTCCCCCGGACCGGTTTTTCGTCCTGAGTCGTTTTTTGACGGTCCCGAGGCCCGGCGAGGGCCCCCGGAGGCCGAAAATAGCGAAAAACCTCCCGTCGTGTTTTTTTCACGACGCGAGGAGGTCTGGGTAGGAGGTCTATCACCCTCCGACCCCCCCCTTCCTGTCGGCGCTGTGCGGTAAAGCACGGCGGCTGCGTCCGATGCCACCTTCGGCCCCATGGGGGCCCTGGCCGAGCCCCAGGAGGAGGAGGAGGAGGAGGAGGAGGAGGAGGAGGAGGAGGAGGAGGAGGAGGAGGAGGAGGAGGAGGAGGAGGAGAGGAGGAGAGGAGGAGGAGGAGGAGGGAGGAGGAGGGGGAGGAGGAGGAGGAGGAGGAGGAGGAGGAGGAGAGGAGGAGAGGAGGAGGAGAGGAGGAGGAGGAGGAGGGAGGAGGAGGAGGAGGAGGAGGAGGAGGAGGAGGAGGAGGAGGGAGGGAGGGGAGGAGGAGGAGGAGGAGGAGGAGGAGGAGGAGGAGGAGAGCAGGAGGAGGAGGGAGGGAGGAGGAGGAGGAGGAGGAGGAGGAGGAGGAGGAGGAGGAGGAGGAGGAGGAGGGGGGGCCCTGGCCGAGCCCCAGGGCCCTCGGGCAGCGGGCCCCCCTCGACTTTCCAGCTCGTCGTGACTTTGCAGGGGCCCAGGGACACACAAACAAATACACACAAATGAAAATATTCCCCATATCTCCATATTTTCTGGGTGGTTTCTGTCTTTAGGGGGCAAACAAACCTACCTCGCTTTTGACAACCCTCGCTTCCAAGAGGTACCAAACGATGCCAAACTACGGCCTGTACTGGTCAGGCCGCTTGACGAGGGGGCGCGTGGTATGACTTGGTTTTGCCTGGAAGCGAAAGCGGGGTAGGTAATTCACGCTCTGAGTCTTCCCCCCCACTTCTCATATTTTCCCATGTTTTCTTGGGAAATCGACGATTCATTGTGTCTGTGTGTTTTTTGCCCCTCCTAAGACTGTTTGGTGACTTCTGCAGATTCGGGAACGTCTTCCGGAGCCCCCACAAATTGGGTCCCGAACATGCTCGCGCCGTAGACAAAAAAAAAGCAGGGCGGGAAGCTCTTGGCCGTTTCCGTCCTCGAGGGGCCCTGGCCCCACCTCGGGACCGGCAAAAACGGCCTCCCCTGACTCCGGATCCGCCCTACTTTGGGGAAATTCGTAAGTAGGGATTGGAATTTCCGCCTTGCTTTTCAAGCCCCGCTGATGCCAATTTCCGCCCTACTTTTCTGCTGCTGTTTCCGGCCTACTTCTGTGGACTTCCGCCCCACTTTATGCGGGGTGAAGAAAGTTCCGCCCTACTTTTTCGGCCTCTTATAGGTGGATTTCCGACGCAACTTAAAATTGGAAGAAAAAAAAATAGGGCGGATCCGGAGTCAGGGTCGGGATGAAGAACCTGTCCTAGGGAAGGGGTCGGGACTTTTGGGGGCCGCGCCGCGGAAGAATCAGGGCGCCGCACGTCTGGGGCCTAGACCTCCAGGGAGCCCCGTCGTGAGCGGACTTTCTTTTGTCAGCGGCCGCACGCGGAGAGCGCCAGCAGCGAGTCGAGTCAGAGCGGGCCGCGCAGAGACGAATTTGCCCAAAGCGGTGGGCCGGAGCCTCACGCGGCACCTCGGCGGCCAGGCCCGGCGAGTGGAGGAGTGCTGGCGGCGGCTGCCAGGGAAGCTGCACTGCCAGGGGTTGCACGCGTGCAGCGAACTGCAGAGAGGCCACCGTCGTGAGCAGAGAAACACGACGTCGGAGTCTTGGGGATGTGCGCCGTGCGCGCGGGCCCCCAGCAGCGGGCGCTTCCGACGATGCGGGGCGCAGCTGGTGGATGCAGCAGACACAGACCCCCGACGTCGCGATTTTGTTCACAACTTCGACCCCCAGAGGTCTGGACCCCTTCCCCGGGACCCGTTTTTCATTCCGAGTCGTTTTTTGACGGTCCCGAGACCCGGCGAGGGCCCCCGGAGGCCGAAAATAGCGAAAAACCTCCCGTCGTGATGTTTTCACAACGCGAGGAGGTCTGGGGAGAGGGTGCAGCTGGTAGAGTCCTTCCAGAAGTTGCACCCGAATGCAACTGCGTGCCGCCATGGCCCTCCCGGTCTGAGCCAGGGCACGGCCGACGGAGGGCTCGAGCCGAGGGCTTGAGAGCAGGAGAAGAGGGAGGAGGAGGAGGAGGAGGAGGAGGAGGAGGAGGAGGAGGAGGAGGAGGAGGAGGAGGAGGAGGAGGAGGAGAGGAGTGGAGTGGAGTGGAGTGGAGTGGAGTGGAGTGGACGCCATCACGAGGTGATATGTCAAAACAAACACACACACACACACACACACACACACACACACACACACACACACACACACACACACACACACACACACACACACACACACACACACACACACACACACACACACACACACACACACACACACACACACACTGCCAGGGCCTATACAATGTGCTGGGAGAGACCTAGTGCACCTCGGCCGCTCCCGCTCCAAAACCCAGAAGGCCGAGGAGGGGAGGGGACGCTCAGACCAACGCCTCCAGGACCAGCCCCCCCCCCCCGAGGGGAGGGGGCCCCCCTGCCACCCGCCAGGCACGCCAGGCGCTGGTCGGGGACACAGGACACCCCTCGCCACCAGGCGGGGCACCTGGTGCGAGTCTCGGGGCGGGTGCCCTGGCCTGCTCCCCCCAGTCCCCTTGCCCAAGGGGGACAGAGCAGGACTCCCCGTGAGCCTGGCCGAAGCCAGACCCCCCCTCCACACCCTGGCGCGACCGGGGAGCCGCCGTGCCAAGACAGTGGAGGGGACCCGATTCGGCCGTAGCCGAATCGGGATTACCGTTTAAGCCCGAAGGCCGGGGTCGGTGCCCCCTACTGCCAAAACCACCCACCCGCCCACGGCTATGCCGTGGGAGGGTGGGTGGTTTCAGCAGTGGCGCAGCCCCCAAACAGGCCACGACTAAGCGGGTTTCAGTTCCCCCGGACGCCGGGAGGTGCCGCCCACACCAACCGGCTGCCCGCCTGGGGGCAGGAGGAGGAGGAGGAGGAGGAGGAGGAGGAGGAGGAGGAGGAGGAGGAGGAGGAGGAGGGCGCAGCTGATAGGGTGCAGCTCCTCGGCTGCATCTTTCAGGGTACAGCCTATGGGGCGCCACACGTGGGATGTGGCCATCGGGGTGCAGTCAGCGGGGTGCAGCCACGTGGAATGCGCCATGCGGGGCGGTATCCTCGCCGACTCTGAGCTTCGTCGGGTGACCAACGGGCCTCCGCGGCCCCATGCCAAGGCGAATCTATTCACGTGGGGAACCTGCTGGCAGCCCAGTTTCTTGCTTGGTGTGCCTGGTGTGTGGGCCCGTGCGGGTGCACCTTCTGGGGTGCATCCTTTGGCGTCAGACGAAGCCAGGACAGGGACAACATCGGACAGGGATACATCGAGAGTATCTCAAATCGGGCGGCTCCGAAGATGTATCGGGCGCTGCGGTCTTCTCAGAGCGTTCCGGAACGCTTTGAACGCTCTGGAACGATTAAACCAAAGTCCTATAGGCCCTCGGGGACGCACTATCGGACACACGCAAGAAAAACCGTGGGTAAGAGTAATTTGGCTCGGGAAAGACAGAGCAGCCGGTATCGGCACACTTGCTGTGCAACTGGCACCAGCAGCCGCTGTGCACGCCGGTCGTCCAGGGCATAGCAGGCGTGCCATTTTCTCGATCCAACAGGGGGTGCGCACGGGGTGGTCCCTCAGCGCGGCCGCTATGCACGCCGGCCGTCCATGCATAGGCATTTTCCTCGACACCATAGGGGGTGCGCAGACTGCGGTCCCCCAGCGCGGCCGCTATGCGCGCCGGTCGTCCAGACATAGCAGGTGCTGCACTTTTTCGACACCACAGGGGTGCGCAGGGGTTGGTCCCCCAGCGCGGCCGCTATGCGTGCCAGTCGTCCAGGCATAGCAGGTGTTGAACTTTTTCGAAACCGTAGGGGGGGCGCAAAGGGTGGTCCCTCACCGCGGCCGCTATACGCGCCGGTCGTCAAGGACATAGCAGGCGTGCCATTTTCCTCGACACCAGAAAGGGTGCGCAGACGGTGGTCTCTCACCGCGGCCGCGATGCGCGCCGGTCGTCCAGGCATAGCAGCAGGTGTCGCACTTTCTCGATCTAATAATACCGCAACTCCCTGGACCTCTCCTGGGGTGCATTCGGACAGGAATTCCGAAGAGAGCCCAGCCGTGGCGAAGAGAGCTCTCCGGGACGATCAGCGATGTCGGTATCTTCTCCTCCTCTGACGGCAA